AGAGAGAGAGAGAGAGAGAGAGAGAGAGAGAGAGAGAGAGAGAGAGAGAGAGAGAGAGAGAGAGAGAGAGAGAGAGAGAGAAAGAGAGAGAGATGGAGAGAGAGAGAGAGAGAGAGAGAGAGAGAGAGAGGGAGAGAGAGAGAGAGGACGCTGCAGGCGACGCTGAGGACGACGACGACGACGAAGACGGCGACGATGAGCGTGCGAGCAGGAATGGGATTTTATTAGCGCGCGCTCAAAATATTTGAGCGGGCACTGAAAAAATTGAGCGCGCGCTAACGGGAGGCTGTGCCGCGCGCTGAAGGGGAGGGCGGCGGGGACCGGGGGCACAGGGGTTCGGTTGGGCATAGTCCCTGCTGCGGCCGGCTGTCCCCTAGTCAGTGTGGACCACGGGAGAGGCCGTGCCGCGAGCTGGAGGGGAGGGCGGTGGGGACCGGGGGCACATGGATTCGGGTGGGCATAGTCCCTGGTGCTACCACCTGTGCCCTAGCCGGTGTGGCCCGCCTGCGCGCGTGCTTAGCAGGTGGGTAGTGTGAGGTTAAATGGAGAGAAGAATATAGCTTGAAAAAAAAAAAAAAAAAAGGGAGGTCCGCGCCGCCTGTGGGCCGACGACGGGTTGGCGGAGGCGGGCTGGCAGCGCCGCAGCGGCGGGACACTACAGGTTGTTCGGGAGGACCGGGTGGCATTTAGGCTGTAGCTGAGGGTTGGGAACGGGGTGAACGCAGCCTTGCTGAAGGCTGTTTCTTACGGGCCGACTGGCGCGGCGACAATGCCGAAGCGTCAAGTAAACACCTTCGTCAAGGCCAGCGACGACACGCAGGCGAGCATGAAGAACTCAAACGACATTTACAAATACGTGCTCGTTGGCCAGGAGCTTTCTGAGAAGCTTCGTGGTCAAAGGATGCTTCGGTGTGTGTTCTGCGGGAACGAGTGGCAGGGGAACAGGCATGGGGCGGCGCGGCATTTTCGTAGCGTGAAGGGATGTTCACAGGTGACCGACGAAGCTCTTATGGAGATGCATTACACAAGCGGTTACGCATTTAAGGGAAAGTCATTAGAGCGGATTCACAAGTACGAGGAACTTCATGGTCCTTGGGAAGATGAGAGGAGGACTGGCCGGGGTCAGGCGCAAGCGCGGGCGGCGTCCAACGCCCCTGTCGGAGCACGACAACAGGGCGATGACGTCGTCGATTTGGATGGCGAGGGAGAGGATTGCGGGGCCGCGGGGGTTGAGGGGGAGGTCGAGGCTGCATACTCATAGCGCCCAGGTAAGTTGTCGGTCGGTGAGGGTGGTTCAAATTCAGGGAAGAGGAAGGGTGTGGTTGGTGCAACGATGCAGCAGGGGAAGAAGATGAGGCAGCCGGGGATAAAAGAGGTGTTCGGGTCTGACTGGGCTGCTGAACACAGGAGGTTGTGGTTGCGCTTCGTGTACAGCAACCAGCTTCCCTTCAACATCTTTCGGAGCCTGACGTGGAAGGCGTACACTGCACACTTCAAGGACAAGTCCCCGTGGTTTGGCCTTCTGAAAAGGAAGTCGCATCGATGGACACAGTGCTTGAGACGGCGACGGACGTTGTTGCGGGTCTCAAAGACATACAGGAGCCGTTTGACCGCACAGGGGCGACGATCATGTCTGATGGTAGGAAGTCTCGTGATGGGAAACCCATCATGAACTTCCTTGCAGCCGGTGCTCGAGGAGTGATGATGTATCGCACCCTCAACAGGGAGGGTGAGAAAGATGATGCGCTTGCAGTGTTGAGGAGGTGGATATCGGTTTTGCACGACTTCGGTCCCGACAGGGTTAACGCTATTTGCACAGACTCTGCGTCTGCCTACATAAAGGCAGGCAACGCTTTGGCCCATCCTCACATGCGGCCTGAGTACAGACGGATTACGTGGCTTCCGTGTGCAGCGCATGTGTGCAACAAATTATTGTCGGACATCGGGACAGTGGGCCGTGGTGCGTAGACATTATTATGCGGGCGAGAGCGGTGGTGCATTTCATAAAAATGCACGGTCGAGCTGATTTTTTGTTCAGGAAAGAGAGTCGCCATCTAGGTTTGTTGTACTCTTGTGAGACTCGCTTCGCTTCTGTGTACTCGATGCTAGAGCGGTTGGATGCTGTGCGGCGTCCCTTGGAGCGGATGGTGGATGGGACAGACTGGTGCAGGGAGCCTTGAGCGACTACGTTGATCAGGCAGCATGCACGATGGGTGCAGTGGCAGATCCGGCATGGCAGTTAGTGGGACTCCATGGACATCTTGTGTGGCGTTATGGAGCCGGCTTATGATCTGCTGCGCAAGAAGGATCATGGAGGGTTATGTATGTCTCGAGTCGTCGAGTGGACTGGACGGTTGGCGAGGGAGGTGGAGGCGGCTGTCAGGCCGTTGGAGGATGGATTGGCGGATCAGATTTTCAGGTGCGTACAGGAGCGCGCCGCTCATATGTGTGAGCCTGCGCATGAGCGGCGCACCTCCTTTGTCCGAAAAGGAGGTCGATGCAGTATTACAGCGGCGTGGTGAAGGACGAGGACAAACGACTTGTAAGGGAGGCGGAGCGGTACATTCTGTCACAGACCGGGTTTGATGAGCGGCGGAAGGAGTACCGGGACGCTGTGTTGCAGCTGCGGGACTTTCATATGCGCACATCGACTTGCGCATGGGGAGGGGAGCGGGCACGTGCCGCAGCGGAGATGTGTGTCGGAGAACAGGAGACTGTTGAGAGTGGTCTTTGGTGGTCACAGTATGGCGGCTGTGCTCCTGAGCTTCAACGTATCGCTCTTCGTGTGTTGTACATGTGGACGTGCTCCTCTCCCGCAGAGCGGAACTGGGCCATCCACGAGAGTATTCACACGAAGAAGCGTAACAGGTTGCTGTTCCCGAAGGTCGCGAAGTTGGTGGAGTCACGGCCAACATGCGACTTTTGGCTCGTAAGAGCGGTGGTGGAGGTTTGGTTCTTCCGTGGACTCAGGATGAGTCCATATTGGATGTTGAGGGTGGCTTGGAGGCAGACGCCGTATGTGAGGGGGTGGACCACAACATACCCGAGGAGGACCGCGATGCGAAGGCGCAGCTGTGGCGGCAGGATGCTTGTGGGTCACGACCACCGCCTCCCATTGAGTATGTGTTCGGGGTTCGGGCCGCCACTTTGAGGCCGTACCCGAGAGATGACTCGAGTGGAGATGAGCGCGAGGAGGCAGATGAGGGTTTCCGCCCCCGCGGCGCTAGTGCTGCCCGACGTGCGGAGGACGACGATGACGCTTGGAGTGACCCTAAGGAGGTTCGACGACGTAGTGGTTGCAGAGATTTAATCGAGGACACAGCTAGGGGCAGGTTTGGAGTCGAGGGATGCTGGGACGGATCAAGGAGCCCTCTTGTCGAGCCGATTCCTCATACCTCATCGCCGACCGTACATGGGGCAGAGGGGGACATAGCGGGCATGCGAGGAGCCCATCATAGAGAGGGTCCGACAGGCAAGGGCTCATTAGCCAGCAGCGAGGATTCGGAGGGGCGTGGAGGAGGTGTGAGGCTTTTGCGGCTTCGGAAGGTTCCGAAGGTCGCAAAGAGACAGCTCATACAAGGTTCTGAGTCACCGCCGTCATCTAGGGGTGCGACCGGTGCGGGGACAGGAGGAGCGGAGATCGGAGACGCAGGACATGATCGTCCGACAGACGACAACTAAGAGATGGGCACTGGAGATGTGGCAAGAGGTGTTGCTTGGTCGCTAGGGGACATTGGGACGCTAGGCGCTTTACCTGGTAGTAGCACGGGTCACACGGAGCAGTTTGATGATGCCTATCATGAGGGGGTGCCACAAGATGAGGTAGTTGGCGATGGGGACCATGCTTTGGAATCAGCGTCCATGCGCGATTTCATGGCCGAGCTAGAGGCCGCTCTTCCATCCATGACGGAGGGTGAGTCTACTGTTGCGCGACAGGCCGACGACGAGGATGTTCGGCCTTGGCCACAGACAGTTGACATGGGAGTGCCTGCACCCGACACCGAGGAGGAGCGGATGGCTCGAGAGGCGAGGGAGGATGAGGAGGAGGCCGCAAGGGCCAAGGCCCTAGCCGATGCTGACCCACGCACACAGGCCATGGCACGTGACATGGAGGCCATGCGTAAGTTAGAGACTGGGGGAGAAGGACTACGAGGCGATGTGGCGGAGGATGACCAGATGGAGGCAGCTGGCCACATTTCACATGCGGCTCGAGAAATAGACGACGATGCACCACCGCCCGATATCGACAGCGCACCCATCGTCCCGCCACCGCCTGATGGAGAGGTGGACACCGTTGCAGTGCCACACGAGAGAGAGGCGTGCGGCGAGACAGTGGTTCAGTTCACTGTGGTGGAGGATGATGCTGCTCAGGCGGTGGCCCCTCAGATAGTCGATGGTGTAGATACGACTTTGCTGGGAAATCCAGGAGCGGTACCGGGGGGAGACGTGAAGGATGAGGAGGCAGATGGGAGTCCAGCGGCGGTGGGGGGAGATGTAGAGACAGGGAAGGACAGGGTTCGGGAGGTACATGGAGATGTGGGTGCACCCTCGACTATACCTGGTTCACGCGAAGAGGAGGGAGCAGGAGTCATGGCGTCACCGCCCATTCGGCATGATTCACCGACGGCCACACTTCGACCACCCAGTCAGCGGTTGCGGCGTCGTCCACCTCATTACGTAGAGCAGCCACGAGGCAGTTCGATGTTCGGCGCGATGACTGTCGATGAGTTGGGCGCTTGCCTTGCGACAGATCTCACTGAGACGAGACGGGGAGTGAGGATCGGCTCAAAGAAAGGCAAAGCACTACTGCCACGCGTGCAGTCCGTTTCAAGGGGCCCTGCTAGCCCGACACCTCCATCAGACGCTTCGGTAGCGGTGGGTGCCATGGGAGTTGGTGCGGCGCAGTCCCCTCCCAGTGTGGCACGAGATCGCGGGACACGACTTTCTGCGCCAACCTCAGCGGCAGGAAGGCCTTGAGAGCGTGGACAGGCGACAGAGGGGGCTGTGGCTTCTTAACTAGGCTGCACTGACATTCCTTGGAGCAACACGAGGAGGTTGACCGCGGGTACCAGGAAGAGGCAGCATGGGTTGGGGAGGAGACGCTCGTCCACATCATCGACGAGGATGGTGCATGCTGCTGGGTTCGAGCATCGTGGCGGGTTGGGTGCTGAGGTTGAGGGTGCGGGCGGACGTGGATCTGCAGCGCCCGGCGCACGAGTGTCGACTCACGGATTGAGGGAGGTTTCACAGATCCTCGGGGATGATGTGTTGGGGCCTCCTAGGACACAGCGACCGCTACCCAGACGAGCATCATGCCTGGATGGCGAGACCACCGGGAGCGAGGGGTTGGAGATGATGTGAGGGAGACGTCGCACGGACACCCTCTTAGCGGCATCGCAGAGAAAGATGAGACTAGATGGCTTCATGGTGGTTGACGACGATCACACAGAGGTCGCTGCAGAGGAGGCTGACGGAGAGGAGAACCTGTCGATACACGAGGCACGCCTGGTGACCTTGGAGCGTGGAGAGCGGCGGAGCACGAGCCCCCGCACACGCCCTGGACACCACTGACTTTTTGGTGATTGTTAGCGGTCAGCGGCACGACCGCATTATGTAGTTTTTACACGTTCCTTTATCGTTTGTCGCTGTAGGATGGTCTTTTTCCTTATTAGGCGGTGCACATTTTTCTTATTTCATGCAGATGGTTCATTGTGAAACCTTTCTGGGTGCACACACGTTTCGACCTTTCATATTTCGTATGGTACACTTTCTAGGTGCAGCCGTATGTTTTTTTTTCTGTATCTTTTGTGTGCATTTTTCCTTTCCCTTTAAACCTCGTCTGCCTACTTTCTGTTGTTTCTTCTTTTGTGCAGGTGACCGATGTTTTTTTTTTCACCTATGGGACGCTACTCCCATCAAACCTCGCGCCCACATTAAGTTTAGGCGGGCACGAGCCTTGCTGGGGGTAGCCAGACCCAAACACCACCCAACCCAAACCCGACCCCACCCCACCCCACCCCACCCCAAACTGCACCCCGAACTGCACCCCAAAACCCACCCCAAACCCTACCCCATGGTCCCCACCACAAACCACACCACACTACACCACCACAAACCAACCGCAACTAACCCAAAACCCAAACCCCACCCCGTGCCAAACACCACCACACCCCACCCCACCCGAAACCCCACCCCACCCGAAACCC